GAGACACATCGGGACCGACCACACCGCCGCTGGCCGCGGTGTCGCAGTACGTGCGAATGCATATTTGCATGCGCTCCGATGACTGTGTTTTGCGCGACAATGATACATGCGTATCATCGTACGGCGATTAAAGCGACGCGCGCGTGCCGCGTGGAAGGGGAAATTGATTCGTCGCGCGCTGATGTTGCAGCAACCCCCGGTTGGAATTTCGTAATAAGCGCGCGCCTCGTAAATCCCCCTCGGGCCTCCCCCGAAAGAAATGCCCGGAACGACGCGCGTTTTTTTTTTCTTGTAAATTTCCCCTTGACACCGCCGACGTTATTATGAATCGAGCCCTTTCTCGCGTGGGCACGCCTCTTCCAAACGAGCGAGCCTCCTTTGCGATCGTGACTACTCAACTCAGGCATCTCAACCCGTTGACATGTTTACCCGATATGTCACTACGATTCCTCCAGGGGAGAAATACCGGCTGCTTTTCGCATTAAAAAAAAAGTAGAGGATTGCTCGAGCAAAAACGGTCCGGATACACGACTGCAGTGGATTCGACAGTACACGGAGTTTGCGTTAAGATAAATTGATGCAGGCATTACCCGATAACTGACTATACCACACCTTCCTCCGCACTATGATACACATTATCAGATAATAATTAGGTGTTTGCAGCATACGCATTATCGTGTAAGATCGCGTTATTATTACAGTCAAGTCCAATTACATGCAATCGCATGTTGAAACATCAATTTGTGCGCCTGCCACCGGTTCGCGCGATCCTCGTGAACGGCCATTTCATCGAGCGCGCATTATAAATACCGCATAATTAAGACGTATAAATAACGCGTAATCACGTGTATCGCCGCTCGGCATAATTTATCGCAATTTGTACGCGGCAGAGTATGAGATATTGCCTTTTTTCCTCCCGTCGAATAATTTCCCTATCGTTCCGTAAAAACTTAAAATTATTTAAATCATTTCCATATTTTCCATAGCTAATACTTGACATAAAATACTAAAGAAATAGAATGCAATGTCTTGTTAAAGTTTTCTTAACAAGAACTCTATTCTAAGTTTATTAACAAATCTGTTATTTGAAATTCAAACATTCCACGATGTTTTATATGTTTGCAATCTTTTCATTTTCATTTTTATTTAATCATTAAAATTTCAATAAGATTCACAGGGAACTTCAAGTTATTCATAGATGAAATTATTCTTTTATACGAACAGCTAAGCCAATATAAATTTTTACTCACAGATAAAAAAATTTTATTAATTTGACATTTTTAAATATACGGTATATACTTGCGTTACACAGAGAGAACGATTTCTTTCGGTTTAATGAATTTTATTGTATTCAAACAAATTAGTTATTTGGAATCCAAACAAACCAATATTTGAATCAATAACGATTGTTTGAATTGGAAATAATGTATATCTTCGTCTTAAATAAATTGCATAGAACAACGTATATCAAATATTTTGCTATCTTCATATAAATAAATTATTTGTTTTAATGTTCGTATTTATTTTTTGAAATCAAATAATACATGATTTGGTTAAAAGATATTATTTCAAATAATAGTATTTCCATCAAGTAATAGAGGTATTTTGAACGAAATAACAAAATTGTTATTCAATCAAATAATGTTTCGTATAAAGTATATGTTGTTTCAATAAAACAAATATCGGTCAAATAAAGGAATACCAAATCAAAAGAAATCTTTTCCTCTGTGTATAATAGAAGTTAGTAAAGGAATTTTGAGTTATTATTACATTGGAATTTTTCCATCATTAAAGTTGCCATGAAAATTGATGACGAGTCATCAATGCACTGATACGATACGGAAATACCGCCAAATATGAAATTCCGGTGGCCGACAACTCAATAACAAGAGAAAATTGTGGTATTCTTAAAGAAAACGATCACGCGCAGCCGATGGAACATCGATCAACTCCTAAGAATTAAAGATGCAACGTGTACTACCTGCCTCGTCGCCCGAAGGAGAACCGGCGCGATCAACGCGGATAACATCGCAAAATCGAGCGTGGGAGAGGATTCCCGTGGAAAGGGGTATTAAATACGTGACCCGACTCGTTTTATCCTTTCCGTCGTTCAGCTTTCGCCGAACCTTAAACTATTTCGCGTTAAGAGGTGTGAAATGAAATCTATCGCGTCGTTACCACGACCATCATAGCGCGACTTCACTTGAGAATTTGCTGTAACGCACGCGCGCCGGTAGTTCGGAGAAAGAAAATTGGAAGGAATGGATCGAGGCGCACATCAATTTTAACGTATCCTCATCATCGCGCGGCTAAACGGCTGTAGCTGTTGAAAATTTTTCCACCCAATCACCAACGTTCAACGTAAAAAATTGTTAGAGAGCGACGGCTTTACTACTTCGAAGCGTTGACGGTGTGAATATCGTCATTTTCGTCGAAACTGTCTTATAATTGAGATTTGTTTTACACACTTTCTTCTTCCTACAAAGGATCTTCACGCGATAGTTTGGTAGTCTCTAATTATTTTTGATAAAATAACTCTGATCTATTTGTCGTCAAATAAATTTGAAATACATTTTTGAGAACAAAGCGTGCGTTTTTAACGTTAAATCTTCACGACTATAGAGTGCAATATAACATTCATGTTTTGGGCATTCATAGAATGTTCACTCATTATTAATTATGGTAAACGGAATTATTCACTTGATTATGACGAGCATTGGTGATTGTTTCAATAGTTTCACGTCATGTTGCGCACAGCGTGTACTTTATATGTATACTGTATAGTATAATGTATAATATCAATTATATAATTATGTACATATTAAATATGCATAATGCAGCATTTAGACGACCTCTAAACCAATTTTAAAACATAAAGGAACGTGCAAAATTAGTTTAAAACTTTTCTGGGAGCTCAACATACATGTCGCTTTATTAAACACTGAAAAATGAACTCCTTATTTTCAGAACTTAATAATAAGAGAATTCTAGCGACTTCTCAAAAAGTTTTAAAATTCTTGACAATTCTTGAGAAGAATTTTGATAAATGAGCGCTAATAAATAGAAATATAATTGATATGGAATATCTATTTCAAGTTTCCGTTAAATTAATGAGCAATTATATCAAAATGAGACGCTAACTTCACTGAGGTGCTTTAGGCAATTATAGTTAAATGTGCAAGTAGAGATATGTATAATTATCTGGTACAGATCGCAATACATGTACAAGTGAATTAAAAAGGGTAGCGTTTATATGAATTAAAAAGACTCATAAGCATCTGAGTGATACATGACGCGTCACAGCCGATTTAAAGAGAGTCGAGGGAAAAAGAAAAAAGAGAAGACAAAAGGAAAATGTAAAGCAACGTTGCAGCAAAAACGGGATAAACTGCATCCAACTGCGTGCATCCTCTATAAATTCATCCCCCATTTTTCTCAGCATATATCTGCATTACAATAGGAGATTTATTAATAAAAAATATAATGCTATATTTTTTATTAATAAGTCCATCCTGCTAACGGCGCGCCACATATAATGTCTTTTATATACAAATCTTCGGCGAAGTGAATCCAGCAATTTTTTAAACGACGGCGTTATTCAAATCGGAAACGTTTAAAAAGGCAACACGTTCTTTTTTACTGCGCTGGCATTAAATCCGTTCGACGTAATTCTTTTTCATTTAATCATCGATGTACGTATGGAAATTATTAATTTTATTCGCAACTTTGAATTCATAAACGTCATCTAACTTGATTACTTTTTAACGCAACTTTTTCTACGTACGATCTACGTAATTATTTTTTAAAGTTTAATTAAACATAAATCTAATAGGAAATAAAAAAACTCTTTAATTGTGGTTTTCCAACGCGGTTTCTAATAATTTCGTATGCGTTGTATATATTATTAATAACATTTGATGGCATATAAAACGAATAGCGAATATAAGCTTGAAACGTCAAACTCAAGAATTCTATCTCGAAATGCTATAGGCAAATATTTATAAAGAAAAAGGAATAAATACCATTTGTTCGGGCACATTATTCGCTGCGTGATATTCGTATGAAATGTTTTATGGAGATGTTCACGTTATTTTTACAACCCGTCTATCGTTCCAGGCTTTTACTTCAGATTTTCGGGATATATACAGCCGGGTGCGCGACGCGTTCGCGAAATATATATATATATATATATATATATATATATATATATAATATTTGAAATTTTCTAGAGAATTTGGCGGCAACGCTCGTGATAAATATCACATTTCGCCGAGCGAACCAGTCGACGGGCGGAGAGATTCCATTCGAATTCATACCGGTCGTACGTATATCCGGCTTTACGATCCTCCCGGTGCGAAAAGTTCGCGAGCGCGCGCGCACGCCAACTGGCAGGAGAACGGTGCGAAAAATCGCGAGGCATTCGAAAGGCGGCCGATGACATCGCGCCCGACGATTCGCGCTCGGGGGGATACACGCCGCCGTGAAATTCATTTGACGCGCCATAACGCAATTCGACCGGCGATCAAGCGACAATGCCAATTATCTGTGCGAACATCGCGCGATACGATAAATACAGGCCATTAAATGTTTCACTTAACCGTCATACATGATTGGACATAGACGAAACCAAATCTGATTTAGGTTTCGCGCAAAACCATCGTGTCGTTGCATGTACAAACATTCATTGAAAAGGATTACACTTGATCTCTAATTATTCATATTTGGATATTCTCAAGAAAGTCTTTTATATATTATTTTATATACCTAAAATTATATCACGTGGATGATTTAAAAACGTTTGCTCGTATTACTTTATATTATTTTTAAATAATATAAAAATAGGATAAAAGGATAGCTAATTTCTAGATATAAAGAAGATTTAATAATTAAAGATATCCATTAAGATTTAAAGGAACTTATATAAACTCTTTCAAGAATTAGAAATTGTGCATTCAAGATTCATAAATTCATGCAGATATTTTCAATAATATATCACTTACTATTCGGGTCGTGTATCCAACGTTTCTTGTCTCCAACTTTCATTATGCGGGGATCATCCTGAAAATAAGAAAGTTGACATGTTAGAAAAAGTCGATTTCATATCCATCTACACGCTAAAAACTTATTTTTGTATATATAACAGGACACACGCGAGCATATAGATTCGTTGAAGGCCGTTATTTTCGCATCGTCACGGAATCAAGGGTAAGTGGCGTTTTGCGCCAAAATGCAGTTCGATTGATGCAGTACGAAAGCTGCCGGTACTGATATGTACGTATGCACGTGAACGGGGAATATGACGAACGATCGCTCGTCACGTGCACGAAATTCAGGGTTGCTCCGGTAAAATAAGAACGCGTAATCTGTGCGCTCGAAGTTCAGGCCGAGGTCAGAGGTAAAAAGAGAATGGGGTTCGAAGAGGCATGACGGGACCAGAAGGGAACGAGCTTGCGGAGAGCTCGCGTGATAGTTCACGTGCCAGTTTGCAACACGTACACACACACAAAATTCACAGATAATATCTAAAATACCAATGGGGAAAATACATAAAATGTAGGTTACTGACCACGGTCTAAAGACCGACCTTACGTTACTAGATAAAATGACGCAGTCAAATCGAAGGAAGATACTTCGTATAGTTTAGATCTTATGACGTTATGAATATTCTGTGATCGATATCGATATTATAAGGTACCTTCAAATAGAAAAAAATCGAATTTAAACCTCGAAAATTGGATTCGAATCTTATTTCGTTCGGAATTGTACTATGTTCGAAGTTGTTTATCAATTGTTTACTCTACAGAATCGTTCCTGGCACGAAAATGTAGAGAAAGGTTCTCTTTATTCATGTATTAGCATAATTTATTCATAATAATTAGTTATTTAAAAAGCCGAATGCCGAAATTATATATACATGTATGAAATCTGTGCCAACATCATATTTTATAATAGATTCAGTTTGCAATTCTATTATTTGATGTAATATATTTTATTGAAATAAATTTTCTTTTTATCATTACTCATGATATTATTGAACATGCATTTTATAATTTTTTCTCATTTTTTTTTAATTTAGCGTCTATTTTCTTAAAACTGCGGTTTGCGCTGCAAAACCGTCGGGCGAAATATTGAAATACGTATAGTAACTTTATACCGTTGTTATTAAAGATATAAAGTATCATAAAAAAATTATAATATGCTGCATTCTCTCTCAAGAAATGCGCAAACACATTTCTCGCATATACTTTTCCGACGCGCGGAGAAAAGGCAAGACTATATACGAGAAATACAAAAGAATTCATACGCATTACGTAAACATCTATCATGTTTCCTCTGGTTTTTTTTAATCCTCTACAAGGCAGATTAATCTTTTTACAATACATGCAATACATGTGTATACGCGTGCAGTCGTGGAACTTGTACATTTTATATAATAAATGCAACACACATGTGTACGTGATTTTAAGAAACTGCTCCCTTTGAGAGGATCAAACTGATTGCGAGGGGTAATTTTCAAGATGAGTTTTCGATGAGAGCCAGCTTTTTTACAAGCGTAAAAGATAATTATAAAACGTCAATTCGAGCCGATGAGATCGAAGGAAAAATCGTAGAGACGCGAAATAAATCGGGGGAGAAGGAGGGGCAGGCGCGATCACAAGACATTGCTGCTTCCCCCTAATTGTACGGCGACGTCCATTCCGCAGGATTATCGTAGCGGAGCCGCGACAGGAAGTGCGGCAGGCTCCGCGTCGCGAAAATAAATGGCACGTATAACACGCGCCGAACGTTACCCCGAACAAATGGCCGCTGTAAACAGCTGTACGATTCGCGCGAGAAGGCGTCGGCGACGAAAAATGAAAACACACGCGCGTCGGCGACGCGTTATTCCGCAGCCAGCTAGCGCAAAAATAATCGTGCGAGAAATAGAGAGCTTTTCACGCTGGACAACGAGCGGGGGGTTAAGGGGAAGGATGAAGGGAAGAGGGTCCGAGCAAAAAAGTCCTGCGAAAATAAAAGCTGCGCTGTTATGAAATTACGAGCTCTATGAAAAATAGGATCATCGAGCATCGGATGGTGTTGTGTCGCGCGTTTTACGGGCGCAACGCGGGATACACGCGGCGAGAGAACGGGGATGACGTTCCGCGACAATTGAAAAATGAATAGAAACGATCCGGTCGTCACGGGTGACCGCGATGAATCGGGAAGAACGTTCGGGAAGAATTTTACGTTCGCTTTTGGGAAAAAGTCGATCGTCGGAGACCGACGTAATTTTTCCGAATTTTCAACGCGGCGGTCGACGAAAGCCGGAGCGACGAATCGCGATACGTTTCTCTCAGCCGGCGAACGTACGACCTAACGTCCTGCTTTATCCCTGCGGACCGCGTCTGACAAATAGTCCACTGCTTTACGAAGCTGTCGCCTGGTCCCTTCACCGCTGCGCCGTTTTATTGGCCCTCACGCGAAATGTTTAGCAGGGTGGAACGCGGTTAAAAATCGCGATTCAGCGCGATTCACATTCAGCGTAATTTCGTCAATCGCGCCTTCGTTTTGTTTAAACAAATCTTCAGCATTTCATTCATACTCACTTTTGATAATTAATTCCGCAAGATATAAAATATAATCTTTTTCTTACATTCTAATTCTAATAGTCATATAGTCAATTTATAATCACATCATCAAAAAATTTTTGTGTGCCTTGTCTAACTTATTTAAATTTTATCGTATAATATTTTCAACCTAAAGTAATATTACGTATAAATTTATTATTATATTGAATAAGAATATAATAAAATTCATCTAATTAAAAGTACATCTATCTAAGTAAAAGATGTAAAAAATATTTTGTTCGAATGTACTCTTTTTATAATTTTTTTGTTGAAAAAACTAAAAAAACTGTTACTAATTACTAATTAATCGATGTAATTTTAATGTCATATCTCAGTCTTATAAAAAATAACAAATTTATTTTACTCTAATTACGTAAATTAAGTTTTATTAACAGAATATCACATCATCTCACTTTATTGTCTAATTTTGGCTACGCTAAAAAAGTATTGTTAGAATTCACGTAGTAAATAAAACATACAGCAGCCCGGTCGCGCGGAGACCGGGCGAATTTGCCGACAAATAGGAAAACTGCGGCGAATTCCGGCTTTTACCGTTGTAAAATTTATCGAGTTGCCGGATAAAGCTGAAAAACGGGCGGAAAATACTGAAAAAAGAGAGCGGGTGCGAAGAGGTGCGACCCGAAAAGTCGCCTTACTCTCTGGTCGCGCGTATAGAAAATAGAACGCGTATACCCACCCACATTTGAGAGAGAATATCGTTGTCGTAAAGAGTTTTATAACGCGTCGTAAGTGTATTAACCGACCGCGACGTAGACATCTCAAAGGATGCCCGCCGTAAAACCGCGATCGTTTCTACAGACGAGACTCTAAGATTTATCCGCGCTTGGAGAAAATAAAGAATTTCGTTGCGCCTTGCGCGCCAGTCCCCGCCGTATACGCGCCGTACAATATTTATTGCAAATATTTATTTATTTATTCAGATGATACGCATGATTAATCGCGCCATTTACGAATTCGATATCGAGTTTATATATTTGTATCCACCGGGACACCGATATATACGCGGCCGGACAACACACGTCACCTTGTTCGTAATTTTCGCTATTTGTATATCTAATAAATTGCTGTAGTAAATACACCGTGGGATACAACCCACATATTTATTCTGAAAATGCGACGGGCTTTAACGAACTGTTTTTATACGGGTTTGCACCACGCGGAATGAGATAGAGATAAATACGCAATGTTACAACGAGCGAAGACCCAAGATTAATGCTGCAAAATAACAGGAAATACAAACTGTTATTTTTTTTTGCAATTATAAACGCAACGCACAAACATGAAATTCCTCTTAAGCTCCTTATGTATGAATATGTTATTAACGTCGAATCTCGTAGGCACATGAATGTTTAAAATTTTAAAGACAACAGTACACTTATACGTTCATTGAACACCATCAGATCTCTCTCTCTCTCTCTCTCTCTCTCTCTCTCTCTCTCTCTCTCTCTCTGTCTCTGCAGATGATATTACGCATTGCCTGCAATAAACGTTGTCGCGATGCGCGCAGATACGATACGCGAGAGAAATAAATGTCCGACTCTCGTAGCTAGTTGCAGCTTGCCGTGCAACAAGGCCGGCTTCCCGCGTTCATTAACAAAATGTAGGCGTCTACTGACATTCGAATCTCTCTCTCTCTCTCTCTCTCTTGCGCGCACGCGCGAACGGAAGCGGCAACCGCATGCATCTGCGCGAATGCATAACCGCTCGCTTTGTAATTCTGTTACTCTCCAGCCGGAATAATTCGCCACTTTTCCTCGCACATGGCTACATATGAATTATTAGCGGTCGCCGAAACGGCCTTTGAAGTTTGCGAGACTGCTCCTGGACGGGAGCGGCAGCTTAAAAGACAAAATTAAATCAATTCCGACCAAACGAGCTTTTCACCCACGGTGTGACCGTCTCGAGTTCCATCGAAATCGCGCGTACGCTACACGTACGATACACTTTATAGCCGTACATATTTTATGCAATTATGTAAAATCGGAGACCTGCCTTTACCTGACTGGCCCATTTCAACACCACGGCGAGCTAACAGATTCCGCCTGAAAATTGCCAATAGCACCGCAATCAATCGCGGTACGATTGTGCACAGGCCAGAGTGCGTTTGATTGTTACGGACCGACATTAATAAATCACATTTATCTTCTGGCACATATTGGGTAATATTAAATAATATTAAATTCCATACAAAACCATATAAAAATTGAAAGAGTAAACCGCTGATGACGTTCAACAATTTTATAAATTACAACAAAGAAGTGTCGATAACTTAAAAATTTTTTTTTAGTTTATAATTTTAAGGAAGAAAAGAGAAAAAAATGGATGATAATTTTCAAATAGAAAACAAAAAATCGATATTATTCGACCATTAATTATTTAATGATTAAACACAGATTTTATCTTCGTAAATACAAAAGTATAAACTCTAAA